TTCAAATGCCTAGGTGACACGGGGTCTCCTCGGAGAGACACCACTACCCACCCCTGGAAATGCGCGGAGGGCGCAAGGCCACCTGGGCAGGCCACAGGGACAGAGGCACGAGCGCAGGCTTAGAAAGGGGAGGTTTTGGTGTGGGGACACATCTTCACTCCTCAGAGTGGAGCTGAGCTTTTACATACGTTCGTCTGACGTGACATGTCAGAGAAGTCGATTTGAAACCGGTTCTTTGTACATCTCGCAGTCTCCGCGACGGCAGCTTGGGAGGATAAATGGGCCTGTCCCAGGAGTCCCAGGCCCAAGCCCTGGACAGTGGGATCTCGCGGCTGCCAGCATGAGGCTGGCACGGTAGCCTGAGGAGGCTAAGCTCCTCACCCTCGCCTCCCTCCCGGCCGGCCAGGTGTGGTTCCTGACGGAGGTGAGCTCCTCGGGAGCCCGAAATCCTGTGGCTTCTTTTAAAGCTCCTTTCTAATTAGAAGGAGCGGTGAAATCATCTGAGTGATTTTATCTGTCATGGGAAAACAAACCCCAACCCAAACTTCAGGCGCCCATCCCAGAACCACCAACGCCCCCATTCTCCCTTTAAAAAGTTTTTAGTGGAAAAGCTGAAGAGCTGGGAAGCCATAGAGGAGTGGGGGAGGGGGACTGTGAAAGTGGGAAGAGAGAGTGGACCTTCAATAGAAGTGTAAGTGTATGAGTGTGCAAGTGTGTGTGTGTGTTCGGCTCTCTGAGGTGGGAGGAGACTAAACCTAGAAGCCAGAAATGAAACAGAATCGTGAACGTCTTCACCTACTGAGAAACACTTTGATCTGAGATCCGACGTTGAAGCAGCCCTGGGGGTTGCAGACTGGGATCCGCGAGGGCCGGGAGTGCCCTGAACCTCGTGGGCCGGTGGGGAGGCCAGGACCGGGATCTGGCCCCACCGTGTGCATTCAGGTGCGCAGGACCTATCGGGTCTGGCCTCCTCTCCTGGCCTTGCCTTCCCCCCACCCCTACCTCTGGGTGGAGACTCTCCCAGCCCCAAAGTTCCGAGAGGGAGGAGAGCCATGAGAAGAGCTTGTAGATGCCCCCGTTGCTTGAGTGCGAAAACACACCCAATCACACTCGCATCGCGCCTAGCACACCCCAGCAGGCAGTCGGCCTCGGTTCCCTGGTCAGGGACTGACCGGGAAAGCGGGTTGGGGCTGTTGGGAAAAGCTGGAACTGATGGCGAGATTGCCGCGGCTATAAATCCATCACTTCCCAGGTCAGCTCTGCGAGGCGCTGAGACTAGGGCTGGCGGAGTGCATTCCTGGGCTAGTGCGCATGCGTCAGCAGGTAGCAACTCAGCTCTTTATGACCAGGTGAGATGTTGGTGAGCAGGTAAAAAAGGAGGATTTGCCTAAGCGATTCCAGGGAGCGGGCCCGGCCGAGCCCTACAGCCCATGCCCGGCGGGGACCCGTCGCCAGGAGCGCCGAGCCGCGATGTCCATACTTGCCAAAATGGGGGACTGGCAGGTACGGGGGTTTGCCTTGGCTGGGGCTGAGGTGGGCGGGGGTGGAGCGGGGGAGGGGGCCGGGAGGGGGAGGCGGAGAGGAAGAGCCTTGGCCCAGGGCGGGAGAGTCGTAGGTGAGGCGCGCCTGGCAGTGCCCAGGAGTGTTCCCGGGAGAGAAAGAGGACAGGAAAGACGAGCGCAGGCGGAGGCCGCGGTGCTGGGGGCAACGCGCGCCGCGGGCGGGCCGGGAGCTGGAGAAAGTCCGGCGCGCGCTCCACAGGTGGCCCCGGGGGTCACTTGCGGTTTGCGTTACAGCGGTCCTCCCCCACCCCAAGGAGAAATAGGGGTAGATGACTAATTCAGGAGGGGGGAGGGCGCAGGGTGGGGGTGCGGTACGCCGAGAGGAAGCTTCCCTGCTCGCTACCCCTTGGGTCTTGCCCTAGACCCCAGGGCTGCGCGTGAGGTGGGCTTCTGGTGCACCTGTCTCTCTTTGTGTCTCCAAGTTTTGGTGACCTAGGGGGAGTGGAGAATGAAAAGGGGTCCAGGTGGACGGGTCGCGCCGGCGAGCATGTTCTTTGGGGTAGTACTTAGACTTTGCGCAGTTTAGCTTCTCGCTCGGTCCGCTTCCTGAAGCCAGTTTTCACAGCTTGGGCTCCGGATGGGGGTGACTGGATGAGGATTGAAGGGTGAGTGATGAGGCAGGAGGTCTAGAATTTGCCGAAACCAACGCCTGCGAAACTGGGCCTTACTCGGTCTCCGACACCACAAGGCCACCTAGGCTCCAGATCCTGCCCTCCCGGAGCCCGGGGCCCCGACCCCGGCAACGGAGGCGTTCTTCCAGCGCTCTCCTTCTACCTTCCAGACATTTCCCCTACGGGAACCAAGGCAGCTCTGGCCAGGTTGGTGAGGGTAGCAGCCTCTCCCCTGTCGCCCATTTCATAATGGGAACCGCGGGGCCCTCTTTTCACCCCAGCCAAGCCAGGCCTGGTTAGGGCGAGATTCTGTGTTCCTAAAAGCCTGCGTGGCGATTCCAACCGAACGCCCCGAACTTCCCAAAGAAAAGGAGAGCCCTGCTCCTTCTGGGGCAATTTCTTTCGCTTGTTTCAGATTTAGACCATTGCAAGTAAAGTTTAGAGAAGTCCCGTCTTCACTACATTCCCTGGAATCGGGGAAAGGAAGTGCTTTTGCAATTTTTATTTCTTTCCTTGCACTTATTTTTATTAACCGTGGGCTCTTTTATACTTCTCCCCCCAGTTAAATCTCACTAAGTGCAATTTCATCCCCAAAGTTTGACTAACTTTGTGGTTTAAGGATGCAAATCCCTCACCAAACACAAACCCTGGAAATCTACACCTTTTTCTCCCTTGCCCCTTTGGGCCTCAGGGCCCTTCTTCCTCCTCTTCCCTGGAGAATGAGGGTAGTGAAGACTGGGGGAGTTCTTTGGCGGAGGTCTTTGGAGTTTTCTCCTCAAGCCGGGCGAACTTTGCTGCAAAATTCCTCGGCGGTGAGAAGGCGCCCGGAGCGCAGGCTCGGCCTAGGTCTGGGCCTCCAGAGGGCCGGACTAGGGTGCGGAAGCTGCGAGATCCCGGCCTGAAGGGGAAAGGAGTGAATCCTGGGCCTGGCTCCTGCGGGCTCACAGTTTGGCATGTGGTGGGAAGCCTAGATCTCGGGTGGGGCAGGCGGATTTGGGGCATGGAGGGGCCGGATCCTCCTGCCTTGGACTGTTGGGCTCCTAGGTCCCACTGGGTGGGGACAACCTAAGAAAATAGAGTCATTCTGGCCCCTCGCTGTCTCCTTGTTTCTGTTGGTGTCCCTGTTACTCACACAGATACTGGCTCTTCCCCGGACGCCCCCTGCACGCCAGACCTGGCCTGGACCCCCGACCCCTACCCCCAGGCCTGGCGCTGCTGTCCCGGGTCTGGCGATGCTGGAGCATTGACATGCAATGAAGTGACTTGTCTTGGTAATGACGCTCACATTAACGCGGCTTGGCTGGCTCCAGGGGCGACTGGGGTGCTCACCCGGCCTTTCTTCAGCGCCGGTAACGCGGGCGGGCAGCACGGAGCGGGTAGGCCCCAATCTGCACCTCAAAGGCGCCCTCGGCGGGAGTACAACAACAGTTTAGCAGCCCCGCGGGTGCGGAGCCGGAGATCTGCGGGGCGCGGGTCAGCAAGGCGGGGGCGGTGAGTGGAGAAGATGAAGGGCCTTAAATGCCTTCCCTAGCCCACAAGCAGAAAAAAAGAAAGCGAAACTTAGAGTTCCCTTAAGCACACTCTGGCAGTATCTGGGGGGTGTAAAATCCCATGCTCCCAGGCCTAGGATTTGGCCTACAGATCACGCTCTGCGGCTGGCGGCCGCGGCTGGGAAGGTGTCAGCGCTCCCGGCGGCCTATCTCCCGACTTCAAGCCGCTGCGTGGAGCTGCGGGCCCGAGGGCAGCTCCGCAGGGTGCGTGTGCTAGCACTGGAAGCTGACCATTTTCTGGGCAGAGTGCGGTGCAGAGCCGAGAGCTGGGTTCAGCCAAGGAACTGTGCTAGTGTTCGGGTGGGGAAAGGGAGCGCAAGGGAGCGCCCAGGGCGTTGGGACCGCGTCCCTCCAGCTCTACCCATCTTCCCCCCCCCCCCCCCCCGCCCAGCTCTAACCTTCTTTCTAACTTTTGGGGGGCCTCTGGCCTACTTTCCCTGGCTTGGGGAATTTGCTGCGGTCTTCTGGAGGGAGAATTGTCTTTCTGCAGCTTTGAGGGGAGGGATCCTTCCTCCTGTTGCCTTCCTTCCACCTGTTAGGGAACGCTCGGATTTGGAACAGCCTGCACCCCTCTGCGTGGACGCACTCTGGAAACCTGGGAGGATTGGCGATTTGCAAGAAACAGGCGCAGATGGAATCCGAGGGCGTACTAGAGCAACTCGGAGGCCAGACCTACTATTGTTGGGGAGTTTTCGATCGTCAAGAGGGAGAAAGACAGAGACTTTTTTATGGAGGACAAATGAGGAAGCTCAGCCAGATAAATTAATTACTCTGTATTTCGAAGGATCACATCACGTCTTTTTTTTTCTTTCTTCCTTAAAAAAATTCGCTGAAACAGAAGAAAAAAATATAAAGCCCCGGTGGGGCGAGCAGGCCCCTGTGTGGAGCAGGAGAGCTAGACTGGCCAACATGGACGAGAGGATGGCTCGAAGGCCTCCGGGTTCCGTGTCAGCCGGGCACTGCGCCGCCAGCGCGCCCGCGTTAGTAACATCACCAAATCATGAAGGAAATCTCCTGCTTTAATTAAAAAGGGGGATCTTGGGAAAACTGGAGCAGATTAGCACAGCGAAGAGTTGGTTCCCAGCGATTTATTTTGATGCATGCATGACACAGCACGCACATGTCGGTATTTCGGCTCAACTCCAGAAGCGACTGTGAGTCTCCATAGGAGTTCTGTATCTGTATTCTTGTCCACATCGCACCCAGGAAACCCTTAGCCCAAACACCACGTTGAATTATCAGTCGGCCCTAGCTTTATACAAACGAGAGGAAAATCATTTAACCCCTGGAGCTGTCAAGTAACCTCTTCAGGGTACAATTTTTATTTTACACGCGGCAATTAAAGGATCGCAAACCCCAGCCGAGCGACTGGAGCCGTTTGGTAAAATCTCCAACCTGGGGGGAAAGCGCAAAGCCAATAAAACTCCCAAAGCGCTGCGGCCGGAGGTGGCGGCTGCCGCGAGGGGAGGCGATCTCTTTTTGGGCAAAAATCCTGGAGTAACTTCGCCGGTCTTGGTTTGGTGGTTATATTTAATTGCGAAAGGGATAATAATTTCTCATAAAATTGGACAGGGCCGAAAGGACAGCGCCGTTAGTGGTGGCAGGGGTGGGGGAGAGGTGCTGGAAGCCGGGCTCTAGGAGCGACCTCTCGGACCCTGCGCAATGCCTGGCTTTTGCGGAGGACGTCTCCCGCGAGGAGAAGACGGAGAGTTAGAGGAATGGGGTGGAATGAAGGGCGGGGGGGCGGGAGGCGGCGCTGGGGCAGGGGCGCGCGGCGGGGCTCAGGGGAGATTTCGTCGGCTCACAGGCAGGCGTGTGCTCTAGAAGCAAGTTCGCGGCTCGGAGAGGCCTTTATACCTGGGTTGGAGCGGCCGGCGGCAGATTGTGGTGCTGGCGAGCAATTGGACTATTGTTGATATGCTAATGAGGCGATTAGGCCGTTGGTAAAGAGCTGGAAAAGGGAAAAGTTTCTACCATTAGAGGGAGATCTCCGAGCGCACACGGGAGCTCTTTCCCTTCTCTCCTCCTCCTCCTCCTCCTCACCCTCCTCCTCCTCGCCCTCCTCCTCCTTCTTTTTGCCCTCCTCCTCCTCCTCCTCCTCGCCCTCCTCCTCCTCCTCTTCGCCTCCTCCTCCTCCTGAGCTCACCGCCGGCAGCCAGCACTTTGCGCTTACCCAGAGAGTAGCTCCACTTGGGTGCGAGGCGGACAGGGGGCAAATCCGTTCACGCCGATCCATGAAAATGCTTTGGAAACTGACGGATAATATCAAGTACGAGGACTGCGAGGTAAGCGCGGCGCTGGCTCAGTTATCCTTGCTGCGGCAGGCTCCGAGCTCTACCTTCCCGCTCCTCCTCCTCTCCTCGCAGCCAGCTGCGAAATGCGGGTGGGACAAACTTTCCCCAGCGCAGCGCCCGCCTCTCCGATTCGCCCGAAGAATGTAGGGGAGAAGCTGAAGAGGGAGGATGTGGATGGTCCCTTCTTTCATTTCCCTCCTTCGAAACCCGTGTCCCACTTTCCCCATTTTTCTGATCAGTTTTGGCTGTGCCTAAGAGTGGAGCTAAGAGATGAGCATGGGTTTTTGAAGCAGTTACTGGCAATTGGGCACACGCCTCTGCACTCTGCGTGACTCTCCAGCGAGATTCTGGGGGCCCAAGTCACCAGGAAGAGAAAGGAAAGAGAAAACCCCTTTCCCTCTTTAACATCCTCTCCACTCTTTAATATTCCTTCTTTTATTTATTCATTCTATCCTTCCTTCCTACCGTCCCCTCCCCCTTTCTAAAAAGGCTCTCTTCTCTTTGGAGAAGGGGCCGCACACTTCGCTCTGAGCTGAGTTACACCTCCCAGTAAGCGGGTTCAATTTGGAAACACTCATCTCCCAAATTGCCACGGGGCTTGCTCCAGGTACTCTGTTATTCAAGAAGTTCTAAACAGCTTCTCCCTCTGAGCTACTTGGCGCACCCCTGGAGTGGGGGAGGAGGGCTGCACCGCACGGAGCCTACTGGCCGCCGAGTCCCCACACGTCTTGCCCTGCAGCCGCCCGGCGCTCGGCTGCGTGACCGTGGGAATCCTGGCGAGGCTGCACACGACCCCTGGTGCCGGGAGCCCCCGGAACGATACAGCGCGCCGCTTTGAAGCCCATTTTAAAACCCTGGGTTCCCGAAGTTCAGCTTCTTGGGGCAGCCGGGGGAGCCCCAGCACCACCCGTCCTGTCCGCTCGCGGGAGGCGCTGGGAACGGGCCTGGTGGCCGCTGCCCTAACCTCCCTTACAGCTCCTGCTGAAATGAGCGGATGAGTCACGGAAGGGGGTGGGGAGGAAGGCCCGCGGCCCAAGATTACCTAAATAAATAGGTGGCTGTCCCGGCTTTTGCTATTTTTCTTTTCTCTTTCCTTGGCTTGCTTTCTTTCCGGCATTTGGAGCCGCGAATGTCAGGCGTAGAGGTCTGTGCGCGCGCAGCGGCAGGGGTCTTGTCTTCACTTGAAATCAGAACCTGAGTTTATGTGAACGATATGTCACCGTCCCCTTCCCCCTCTCCTTTCTGTAGACTATTTTAAATCTTTCTCCTTTCCCGTCCACCCCCCCCCGCCCGCTCTGTGGATGGGGCACCGGGTGATATCCCGCGGGGACGGGCTTTTCTCGGGGGGCTTCTGTCGTGCACAGTGCGGGCCTCAGAGACCCCACCAGACCAGTCGCTTTGTTTTCAGGGCTGGGGAGGTGCCCTTTGCGAGCTGATCTGGGTGAAACTGAGCCCCTTAGTTTCCCAGGGTGAATTGTCCCAAGCCGGGCTGTGGCCCGAGGTTCGGGCACTCACTTTCGCGGAGGCCCAAACTTAGCTCCGGGCTCCAAGCCCTGGGCGGGCGGGGTCCAAACCTCCGCGAGGCGCTAGGCGCCTATGGAACCGACGGGAGAGACGATGAACTTGCACCCCCAGAGAGGGACCCTGTGGGGGCGCGTGTGAATGTGTCTGTGAGTGAGGCAAAAAAAAGGATGAGAAACAAGAAGGAGAGGAGAATAAATAGAGTGAAGGCTGTTTCAACAACTTTGTGGTGGGCGAGCGCCGGAGCAGGGATTTCGGGTTTCCGAGCCGGCTTGGAGCTGTCTAATTATGTCGGGGCTCTGCAGGGACACGCAGCAGGCGAGGTGCCGCTTGTTCTGACAACCCAGCGGACAGACTGGCAGCGGCGGCCGCCTTGCCGCGCTGGGAGAGAGCGAGCCGTGTCATCTGGGGGGGCGTCGGGCGGGAGTGGCCCAGCCAGTCGGACGGGTTTGCGCTGGGAGCCGGGAGCCCGTGCCAGCGGCGCCCAGGCTGGGCCGCCCTGCGTCTCTGCGCGCCCCGGGCCGCGTCCCGGCTCTCCCTCCCCGAGCCCCTGCCCTGGAAAGCCACGGGCAGGGCGGCAGCTGCCGCAGAGCGGACGGCCCCGGGTGTCCGAGGGAAGCTCGAGTGGTGGCCGAGGCGCGGGCCGGCGGAGCGGGAGGGCCGGTCCCGGGCGGGGCGCCGGGCCATGGAGGAGCGGCGCGGCAGCGGGCAGCCGAATCCCGAGTCCCAGGCACGGCTGCGGAGCGGAGGAGCCCGCGGCCGGAGAGGACCGGGAAGCACCCACCGTGCCGAGAGCCCGATGAACGCCCGGACGCAGTCGCCGGCAGCTCCTGCCCGCGACACGCGGCCCCCGCGCTATCCCGAGGTCTGCCTCAGCCTTTTAGGTCTGATTGTCCTCGCTCGCTTCCTCTCCCCCTCCCCTCCCCCGCTGCCTCCCCCTCCGTGCGCTCCGGCTCGGCCCCCTCCCCCTCCTTCCCTCCCTCCCTCTTTCCCTCCCTTCCTCCTCTCGGGCTCTCCCTCCTTCCCTCCCTCCCCTCTCCCCACTCCAGTCTCTCCTCTCTCGCCCACACTTTCTTTCTCACACACGCACGCAGACACATTCTCCCTCTCTGCGCTCTCTCCCTCGGTCTCCCTCTCTCCCTCTTTCTCTTTCACTTTTGCATGCCCTGCAACCTTTTAAAATGTTGCCCCTTCCCTGTGATTCGCCAGACGCCGCGCCGCGGCCCCCCGCGCGCTCGCCCGCTCCCTCTCTCGCCCGCTTTTTGTCTCTCGCGCTCCCTCTCCCCACCTCCGATTTGCTACACTGAGGCTCCCGTCAATGGACTGCATTGAGAGCCGGCTCCGGCGCGAGTTGCCTCTCCGCTTCACGCTCGATTTCCAGGCATTCTTCCCTTATTAAGTATTCGTGTAATATTAATAGTCATGAATATCTGCTATTAGGAAGCTCCAGGAACGCTGCCCAGCGCGGTTATTAGAAGCTCAAGCGAAGCCGCCGCTAAGAAAAGAGGGGGAGACACGGATTAAGGAACACGCACACACACACACAGACACACACACTTTTTTCTTTTTCCTTTTTTGGGGTTTTTCCTTTTTAAAGGAACTTTGAATCATAACCGATCACGGCAGGATAGAGACCGTGGGTTCGACCAGCTGAAGGCGCCGCTCGAATCGGTGGTTCAAGTTCGGATGGACCAGAGCGGGGCTCCAGCGCTCGGGGCAGCGTCGGCGCCGTGACTGGAGTCCTGGGTGGCGCGGGGCTTCGGCGCCTTTTGTGTGGGGCGCGCTCGGGCGGCGGGGCAGCCAGGCTCTCCAGGCTTGCTTGTTTTTTTCCACCCTGACTCGTTACCCCAGACTCTTCGCAGATGTTAGTTCACAGTTTTTCAGCTATGGTGAGTCCCATCCCCACCCCCATCCCTGTTTCCTTAGGAATTCTGTTCTGGAAACCTGGTGCTGCGGAGCGGCCCGAGACCTCGCGTTTCACGCCCAGGTTTCCTTCAGGGCAACCCCTTTCCATCTGCATTTCCCTCTTTCCTCTTTTCTCTCGCTCCTTTCCGTTCTTAAATCGAATGCCTTACCTCCCCCGCCTCCGCTCGACCTCTCCCGGCGGACAGACCTACCTCGCCGCTACTTCCCAAGGCGTTTCTCGCCACCTTCATCTTTATTTCCTTGCGTCTTCACTTGTTCCCGAGATGTTCTCAACATCTGATGCTTAATCCATCTGCAGGAAAAGCGCGGCCCGATGTGCCCCCTACCCTCGGGGCCCCAGGGTTCGCCTTCCCTGGAATCAACTCTGCTTGTTTTGCAAGCGAATTGCAATAGAGGAACATAAAGTCAGGCGTTTCTTCTGCCCTTTGGGGCTGGGGTGGAAGGGGCGGGGGGGTGTTGCTCCGCGCCGGGGTGTACCTTTCTCTTTTAAACCCAATAAGGCTGAATCTTTCTATTTTAAACCTTGACTCGACGTCCCCCTCTCCCCATCCATATCAAAAATCGACTCTGTCGAGAGAAAGGCTCCTAACTGAGGAAGCGGAAAAGACAGACCCCCAACCTGCAGTTTAAACCTTCTTTAAGCTGGTAATTTAAACGTGTGCTTTCGTTACAGCCCCTCTACGAAATATGTTTCTATTTAAATAGTCATGAAATGGTAATAGTGTTTGAACGTGTATGATTTTCCTCCCCAAATAAATGGAACAGAGTAAACAATAACGCAGTGGCAGGCAGGTTCAAATCCGGGGAAAAAAGAAAAGGCCGCTTCTGCTGTTTAATATTTAGTAGGAATTTTAATTTTGCTTAAGGGAGGTTTCACACTGCAGCTTAACGGGCTGTATTCCGGGAGGCCCTTTTCTGTCTTTTTCCCCTCTTTGAAAGAAAAGCCTAAGAAGAGTGTCTTATGCCGCTACGTTTGCACAATCTAATTCCCTGCGTTTTTGGAAGAGCCCGTCTCACTTCTGGGGTATTTTCCGAAATGATCAACGTAGAGCTCATTTCTTTCGGCAGCCTGCCGATGGGAACGGGCGGTTTCCCACGCAGTCCTGCGGAGTGGATTTAGTGCACAGCTGTAACTCGACGCCTGATTTCTTATTCTTTGCCCCTTCCTCTCGCTCTCTTCTAGGACCGTCACGACGGCACCAGCAACGGGACGGCACGGTTGCCCCAGCTGGGCACTGTAGGTCAATCTCCCTACACGAGCGCCCCGCCGCTGTCCCACACCCCCAATGCCGACTTCCAGCCCCCCTACTTCCCCCCGCCCTACCAGCCTATCTACCCCCAGTCGCAAGATCCTTACTCCCACGTCAACGACCCCTACAGCCTGAACCCCCTGCACGCCCAGCCGCAGCCACAGCACCCGGGCTGGCCCGGCCAGAGGCAGAGCCAGGAGTCTGGGCTTCTGCACACGCACCGGGGGCTGCCCCACCAGCTGTCGGGCCTGGATCCTCGCAGGGATTACCGGCGGCACGAGGACCTCTTGCACGGCCCCCACGGGCTTGGCTCAGGACTCGGAGACCTCCCGATCCACTCCTTACCTCACGCCATCGAGGACGTCCCGGTAAGAAGCCGTGCGGGAGGCGGAGAGGGAACACAGCCCCTACTCACCCAACCCCAGAGAAGATACCCGGGACACATGGCCGCTGGGCCTGGGTTTTCCTCAATGGCATTTACTTTTTCAAAATCTCATTTTATTTTGGGGGTGGACGCTTTGAGGACCCACATAGACAACCAAATTTAAAATTTTAAAAGTAGTTGAGAGTTCTGCTCCTAGAACAATGGTTCCTGAAGCTCCTTCAAACAATGCCTGCATTACCACTTCCATCAACAGAGAAATAAATCCGACAAATGTCACCATTAACAATATCTTCCCCTCTCCAGGACAGTAAACTGTTTCGATTGGGAGAGGATCTAATTCCACTGCTGACTCTGGCATGGGGATTTCTCCCTCTCCTGAAAAAGATGTTAAATTCAACCGAAAGAGCTCATTAAATGCTTTAGCAATTTAAAAGAAAGTGTAGAAGATATACTAAGAAAATTATTTTTAGTGGATTTTATAAGTACCTGTGATATCTAAAAGTTGTGTGTATATCCTACT